CCTCCCAAGACACAATTGCTTCCACCTTCTTGGGGTCTATCTTCAAGCCTTTCGTAGTCGCAACGAACCCCAAAAACTCCATCTTTATTTGGTGAAATAAACACTTCTCCAACTTGGCATATAGTCCTCGCTCGCGTAGTTTCTCGAAGACCAAACGAACGTACTTTTCATGCTCTTCCTCATTTTTGGAGAATATCAAAATATCATCCAAATAGATGACAACAAAATCGTCAAGGTACTCTCAAAAAATATCATTCATCATATGTTGAAAGACCGCTGGAGCATTGGTAAGACCAAAGGGCATGACATTATATTCAAAATGGCCATACCTTGTACGGAATGCTGTCTTCCACTCATCTCCTTCCTTGATTCGTACGAGGTTGTAAGCTCCCCTTAGATCAATTTTTGTAAAGATCCTTGCACGTCCAAGTTGTTCTAAGAGACCAGAAATCAAGGGTAATAGGTAACGATTCTTCTTTGTTACCTTGTTGAGGCCTCGATAGTCCACGCACATCCACAACGAGCCATCTTTCTTCTTCACAAATAAGATGGATACTCGAGCTGATGATTTTGAATGACGGATGAAGTTCTTGGCTAGATTCTCGTCGATGTACTTCCGCAATTCCGCCAACTCCATCTGCGATAGATTGTAGATTGGGCCAAAAGGCGGTTGTGCTCCTTCCTGTAAGTCTATGGCGCAATCATATGGTCTTTGTTTCGGTAGCATGTCGGCATTTTTCTTTTGAAACACGTCTTTAAAATCCTTATATTGCTCCGGTATACTTGCTGTCGAGATCTTCTCCCCGGTAGTTGAAGCCGCATAAATGACAAACCGTGTGCCTCCCTTGGACAATCTTATAAATGCTCTTGCTTCAATAAATAAGGATTTCTCTATTCGGGGTTTTCTACTAGGCTTGCTCTTGGGTGGTTTTGTGGGAAAGGTCATCTTCCGCAACTTCCAATCTATGGATGGATTATGCTTTTCCAATCAGGAAAGACCAAGAATAACAGGATTTGATGGGGTTCTAATAATATTGAAAATAATATGACTACTATGGTCCTTAAACGTCACTTCTATAGGTTCTGATTCCTGGGTGACACTAACAGACAATAAAGGTCGTCCATCTATGACCTCAACGTGAACAGGTTTGGATTTTTGTACTAAAGGGATCTTATGACGCCTTGCAAATTCTTCGTCTAAGAAACAAGCAGATGCTCCTGAATCTAATAATGCTAAGGTTTTCAGTTTCTGAGGGCCAATAAGCAAAGAGATTGTAAAACAAAGGGCAGGTTGAGCGGAAAGAAAGGAACCTGGTTGTTGTTGCGATATTTCACTGTCCAGCCGCACGGTTCTTATTGTGGCTGGGCATCTTTGTTTTCCTGAATAAACGCACTCCTAGTCTTGATAATACGTCGATTTTGCTTCTTGGGGCAGTTTCCAACTTTGTGGCCTTCTTCACCGCAATATAAACATAGACCTTCCTCCATACGCCGCTTTTTTTCTTCTAGAGTAAGAGATTTGACACGTACCGCATCAATTTGCATATCTTCTACCTCTGAATGTGAATTCACGCTGCTTGCCGATATAGTTGGGGTGTGGCGAATCGTATGTTGTCTTGAACATTGGTCTTGGCGACGTTGGAATAGGCGGTTATCGCACTTCACAGCTTGGCTAATAGCTTCATTGAGCATTTGTGGATCAGGAAAAGTTAACACCAAATCCTTCACATCGTCCCTTAAACCCCAATAGAATTGACTCATCAATGCTTCTTCGTCCCAATTGATGTCGCATGCTAATTGCCTGAAGTCCGATGCATAGACTGATGTAGAACGCATCCCTTGTCGTAGTGACCGGATCTTTGTTGTAGTCCATCGAATCTTGTCGTGTTCACCAAATGCTTCCGCAAATGCCTCCAAAAAGGTTTCAAAGTTGTTTAGTATGGACGATCGTTTCTCAAACAAAGGAGCAAACCATGATAGAGCTTGTCCTGTAAGTAAGGTTCCAACAAGCCCAACACGTGACTCCTCCGTTGGATAGCGTTCGGGTTGTAAACTTGTTATCAACTTGATTTGGTTGATGAATCCTCGAAATTTGGAACGTGTACCATCGAACTTTTCCGGAAGGCTAACTCGGGGTTCCTTATGTTGTAGAACCAGCGGTGCTTGTCGAACCTGAGGCAAAGTTGCTTCTCCAAGTGTAGAAGTTTGAGGCTAGTACAACTTAGATTGTGCCATCCCAGATGCTCCATCATTATGAAGCCTTGCCACGACTCCTTCAATCTCTGCAGTTCTTTGTGATAACGTAGCAAGGGCATTCATGATAGCATCTAACTTGGACTCTGAACTTTCCGTCATACTAATGTCTTGGCCCCCGACCATTCTAAGAGAAGGACAAGAATGACTCTACAAGAAGACAATATTGGTTTAGAGGAAGGTACTCCGCAACCTCTAAAATGCCTTAAGAGCTTCAAGAAAAGGAGTAATCCACTCTTTCCAAGAAGAATAAGACTCCAATATTGTAACAAAAGAAGTATCAGTTTAGAGGAGGGTAATCCGCAACCTCTAAAGTGCTATTGTACTTCCAAGCAGAGGGGTAATCCATACTCTAACAAAGAAGAAACTAGCTCTGATATCTGAGGTGAATGAAGTCTCGACAAACTGTCATGGACACAGAATACAGACTTGATATTAATATCTAAATATTAATATCTCACAGGTATTGCATCTTCTAATTGAAAAGAATTTGAGACAAAAAAATTATGAAAAACTTGTGCATATAGAAAATAGAATCAATGTCAAAAAAGCTTATTGTCATCTAAATGAATATGTAAGTAGGAGTGACCTTACCATATCCTTCTTATTGAAATTTGAGGTTGAAGTAATGCCAATTTTGAACCAAATATTTGATTGTGACAAAATCAACAAACCATTATAGTGATACAACCATGCGCAAACACTTTCAAAGTTGATACACCTTTGTTGCTAGTTGTTTCTACACTTGGCTTGCCATTGTTCATTCAAAGCATATTACTTTGTGTTCAGATTACAAAGTAACATCAATGATATCATTTAGATCTAATATGTGTATGTTACTTTGTATTTAGATCATGCATTATTCTTTGTAACTTAATATGTAACATGACCTCAGCTATAGGTCTTTTTTGAAATTAAGAGTATTGCAATGTACAACCAAAATCTCACTTTTTAGTGACAAAAATGGAATGAAGAAACTACTCCACAATAACAATGAAGCTATCTATGGATGTCACGGACACAGAATACATACTTGATATCTACCAAGAAGTTCAAGAAGAACTGGCAAGAACTAGATTAATCAGATGAATACAAGAACAACACCAGAGAGGTGAGCTAGAGCTCCAAGAGATGTGTTGTTAAGAATGAAGAACTCTTCAGTCTCGATTCCAATATATACTCCTATTTAGGAAGCTTCTTAAGCAACTTCTACCAATTAGGAAGCTTCTAGAAGGTTCCAGAGACTTGCTTCTAGAAGGTTTTAGAAACTTATCTCTAGAAGGTTCTAAAGACTATGTCCCTAACATCTTCTACCAACTAAGAAGCTTCTAGAAGGTTCCAGAGACTTGCTTCTAAAAGGTTGTAGAAGCTTGTCTCTAGAAGGTTCTAAAAACTTGTCTCTAGAAGGTTCTAAGGACTATGTCACTAACAATGGATGAATAACAAAAGCCCTTCACTTACATATCAAATGAAATTTGATGCACATGCAATACAATCACCTTCAAGATTAACAAATATACTAACCATTTGCATGTAGCCATAATAGAACATATTAGTAGCAAAAATTTGAGCAATACAAATAAGAAAAAATTTTATAAGACCTAACCAGTACAGAGGTTTTAATTTTAGGTCACAATATGAAATCTTCTATATTGTTGAGCTTGAAAAACAACTAGAAACAATCTTTGGAACAATATTCATAATGATTTCAACCAATTATGTCACATACAAACGTAACAATTCTTGACCTCAGGAAGAATTAGAAAGTAGGATGTTATCTTGCAACAATCGATGTCCACAACCTGAAATTGATAGCAAACAAAAAAAACCCAATAGAGACCATATCTTATTTAAATAGGATACATTCAAATTGTTCAATTTTGGAAGTGAGCACAAACTCCTCAACAATGTCAAATGATCTCAAGTACAAAGATCTTTTTTTGTAACAACAATGTCAAATGATCACAAGTACAAAGATCTTTTTTTGTAGAAGTGAATAATATGTGTTATTAAGGCCTTGTAAATCTGTAAACTTTTGTTTCACTTTTGATAAAAATAATGAGGCATGCAACGAATCAAAGGGGATTTTTATCCCTTCTTGTTTATCCCATATATTTTTCCCTCCAAAGCTATTTTGTATAAAAGATTAATGATTATTACATTTAAAATTTATTTGTATTTTACTTTATTATTTATAATTAAAATTTAAAGACATCATTTTTATCCCAATTTGATGTCTGTTTAAAACCAGAATATATTTATTTATTTCACTACCAAATGGCAAATCATATTTGAGTTATAAACATGAATATGTGTATACATACATGCACAAAAGCACATAAACTATGGGATTTCGTCCACAGGAAGCAAACAACAAATTCAAGTTGGTAACCTTGAGTTACCTTCTTACTGATGTACATCAATTTCAATATAAAAGCTTTTGTTACGTGACAGAACTGCATTGTATTTCCTCGACAATTTCCTGATAATGACGATAATGTCATTAAAAACAATGACAAATTTAAGAGTATTAGGTGCAGACCCTGAACACACTCCAACGGTCGAAGAATTCAATTGATTGTTAGCAAAAAGTAGAAACTATCAGCGTTTTATCCCTTCAACCCCCTTGCTTAACCTTCAAATATCAACCTACTCGATTTGTAAGCTATGAAGGAGAATCGAGAAAAAGGTGACTCAATTACAGGAAATTAAACCACAATTTTCTTTCATGCCAAAAAAAAAAAGAGTTGAAAATTATAAAACTTTAAGATAAAAAACAAGTACTTCGCCCAGAAAAAGGACTACAATCGATAGATCTCACATGTTGCATCTACATTGAAAAGAATTGAAGAGGAGCCCACAAATCTTGAGCTCAATCAATTGTACAAATTAGATCAACAGAGTTTTCATATCCGCAAAATAGTATTGTGGAAGATACGAACATGTACATCAAAGAGGAATTGGGTAGAATTTGAATGTCGACCCGAAGAGAATCTGGCCGAAGCATGGCATCAACTCTACCTGCTTCTTTCCTTTACTATGCGTGCAAAATTTGATCCAATCTCCTGCTTTGCAGCTACGGAGACAGGCGAATCCCCAATGTAGAGATCAAAGAATGCCTCTGTATATCAATATGGCACATTTAATATCAGCGTAAAAGTTTAACCACGTCATGAACTAATTGTAATCCTTGAATTGAACCCCTTGAAGGTCTTCGGATCAACATCCACTACAGCAAAACACAAGAAGGCCTAAGTGTGCTAATTATGTACACAAATATGTATCTTAATTTCAGTTTTTCGTCCAGATGAACATAAGAATATTTTTCAAGGTCAAACTTACGGCAAAATGGAGGGCTATGAATAACACCGACTCGGCGACCCTCAACTGCATTCAAAAACACGAGTTACCACATCAGGGATCCTCAAAATTACACTGCACGAAGAGACTTAATAACCATTACGCCAACCCCTCTGCGTTCTGTTTCCATAATGTGAGGGAGAAGAATCAAAATTCTGTTAATGATCTATGAAGACTCAGCCTATTTGAGCGACTCTCAAAACAAACAACTCGGGTTTGGATCAACTCTAGGCGCACACCGAATTACGACGAACGCTAGTGACTTACTTTCAATCCGAAGTCGTCCACCTACTTGCCAACGAACGTCAATGGTGCTACCCTGCAGTTCATTATAGTCATATTAGTTGAAGAATCTAGCGACTTAGATTTCCTTCAAACCAACAGAATCATCCACCTTGTTATCTGGATAAACGAAATAGATGGGACAGTCGCAAACAGAGGAATGGCCAGGAACATCTAAGAACACACCTTGTGGAGACGAATGTCATCTGACAAGTATGAGCAAAATGTCTGCAATCCCTCGTCGCCATTTCCACCTATCTGTACGCCTCACATATACTGACGTCAATCAGTTGGTAACAGCAAAATTCTTTGAAGCTAGTGCACTCAGTCGCTTAGCTTCTAAGTCAAGAGCCCTAAAAAAGTTCGTGACGAGGGTTTTAGTATTTAGAGGAGGTTAAGAAAGGAACCTTGCTCAGCCTGTTCCTGAGGGACTCATGAAAAGCACTGCAAATTTCAGGGTCGTTCTTAGTATCCAAGATGAAGGAATCAATTCAGGTAGATCCAGAGACTTCCAAGGAGTTAAGTGTATAGCAAGCCTATGAAAAAGGTACTGAAAATCCTTCTTTGCATAGTCATTTAAACTGCCAGATTGACACACTAGAACTGCATCCTAAGCCAGTGCAACAAAAATAAACATCATGAAGTTAAACTGAACTCACTTGCGGACCATTCTCATCTTTAGGCCTTGGTAATGTACAACTAAACGCAGAGTCATCTCCACCTCATGAACCCTGTAAAGCAAGTACAAGTAAAAAGGGGAAGCAAATTTCAGCTCCCGCAAGACTTGTCAGTTATACTTGATCTGTTATCAGTACATAGAGACCATGCTTTACTGACTAAAATCAACATAGGAAATACTGTTCCGAAAGTTTGTTCAGTAAGTGCAGATAAGTTTAAAGGTGAAACTTAAAATTTGAACAACTACCTAAGAAGATCCTCCAAAAAGTCGAGTCCGTTCTCGAGTTCTTCAGCACTTAAGCCTTCATACTTATCACCAAGTTGACCACGCAGGTGATCAGGATGAACATCTGTCGTGTGTTCAAACAGAACGCTAAGTAAATCCATGAACTCTTCTAAGAGCGAGATCAAAAGCTCTGGCCTTACCAGTTCACCTCTCAAAACTGCAGAAAGAGTCATGGTTGAAATGTTATCGATGGCAACTCTACGCATAGAACTTCATATCTGTATGTCTGTCTGTCTATATGTCTGTGTATATGCATATCTCAAACTCACAGATTCACATAAAGAAAGTTCAAAGTTTAAAAATAATTAATTAAAATGAGAAAAATGAATGTCATGCTAAAGTTTTGAAAGTCTTAATAAGCTTGAACACGTGACACAATTAACAGCATACACAACTAGTGGATGAAAGCGACATAGGAATTTCTTACAAAGACCGAATGCATAAATCTTAATAGATTTCAACCGCATGATTTCTTTGCTCCGGGCACCGACCCCAGCTAATATCTGCAGATACAGAAGCTACAATGTTAAGAAGGATGATCTGCACAAACATGAGCAACTACACGGGCTTGGAATTCGCGAAGGCATATTTAAGCAGTGTTATGAACTGCCTGGCAGGTCATATCCTAGCCAACATTGAACGAAACTTACCATATTCAGAACACACAATAACAATCCAAAAGGAGAGGACAATACGTCCTTGCCAAGAAGATGAAGTGTACCTGGCACGAAAGACTTGCATCACTATCTTGGCCATCAATGTTGTTGTGACAAAGTTGCATTGGAAATTCCAAGCCTGTTTTGGGCTCTACAACTACAGCTTGAGAGTTGCAACTAGGCAAGCCAAATAATGCTCCATCACAATTATCGACCCCAAAGGCATCTTGGCCGTATTGAAATAAAGCAAGAGACCTGGCATGAAGCTAAACACGTGCTCAGAAAAAGAAAAAGAGCTACTAAGAGCAGGGTGCCTTCTATCCCCAAAACAATAACAGTACTATCATATTCATGGTAGGGAATCCTCAAAACCCAATGAGAACTTACGATGGAGGAAGAGCTGCTGCAAGCACAATAGGTGCTGCATCATAACATATCAGCTTGCTCCACCCGCCTTCCAGAACGGAAGAAATTTGAGAAAAAAAGGAAGACGATAGAACCCCCCTGGTACATAACGAGATGATCTGGATCCCAGGACTTATATCACGAATCAATGTATAATTGACTGCCTTCAAGTCGTTTAATGTTTTCAACTTCTCTGATTTAATGAACCGTCGTCTGGACCCTTTGTCACCGTCTCTACTCCTCAACAACCGCAAGAAAGCTCCTGCGGCGTGAAGCACAGCAGCCACTCCATTTCCAAGAACTAGCTTTTCAGGAACGGGGCTTATACTATTTGACGACAAAATTGATAAAGGCGACACGTCTGATAAGTGACTATTTTCTGAGAGGGTAGGGCACGAGCTCGAAGCTGAAACTGATTTAGAGGATGGATTACTGAAGTGACTACATTGACCATTTCCGTTGGGTACTTTACAAGAAGAGGAGTGAGAAAACCCTAGGTTGGAGGTAAAATCAAGTACCAACGACGGGAAATGTAGCCATCCTCCCTCCATTGTGTCTGCAGGGGATTTACATCAACGCCGACGAGTACTTGTGGTGGGACCAGCGAATTTACATTGCAATTCAAAGTACAAGTCCAATCTGCACATATCAGCAACGCTTCAGACAAGTACAGAATCTCATAATCCATCTTCTCAGGAAGCAGAACCGACCTGTCCAATCCAATCCAATCCACATATCAACATGATGTTCGTAAATCCAACAGGTCGAATCAGGTACTGCAAATCAAAGAATCCTAATCACAATATCTGGTTATATCAAGCATCATATTCAAGGTTGTCCACACCACATTCCATAATTCAACTCGTTGGCTAAAAAGACATGCTAAAGCAAATCAATCATATTAATCTTTGATCGTGCTCACGAACAAAATAAAAAATCACACTAAGGGGCATCCTTAAAAAATCATTAAAAAAACTACATTTCCAGCATACCCACACCACCTCTCTAAAAAAAAAAACCTTCAATCCACCAAACCTCAAATGCGCACACAAGCAAACACCCAACTCCTCAAAACAGCGACACAAACTTAACCCAAAACCCAGAGAACAAAAACCACTAACCTTACGATCCCCACGTAAACAAAGATAAAGGAAACTCAACAAAGAACTACACTTGGGTCCAAAGACACCCACAATCCCAATCACTTACTCACTCACCAAACAGTGGAAACCGACCCCAACGCAATTGTGGGAATCCTCACAACTAGCACAACCAAACAGCCCATAATGCAGAACCCAGTATAGCAAAAGCCAAACCTGGCCAATGCCTAAAACACGGTGGTGGTGTAATGGCCAAACCCACCGACGATGATCGAGCTGCTGCAGCAGCAGCAACAACACCAAAACCAGTAGAATATGCTGGTCTTCAAGGAAAGAGAGAATTCCTGCGATGGGCGGAGCTTGTCCCTCGGTCTGTCCGCCAAACCCGTGCCAAGATTCGGGTATCGGAAGGGTATCTTCCAATATGCCAACTGGATACTTATGTGGGTGGGATCCAACTGAAATCTTCCACGTGGCTCACACTCAGATTCTGCAGACCGCGTTCACCCGGACGGAATTCCCATATTTGGCAAAGCCCTTGATTGAGGCTATGCCGTTTCTTGTTTCATCCCTGATAATTGAACACTTCACTCCTCCACCTTACCAACCATTTCAAGAGCATGATACATTGTTAATTAATTAAGGGAATAGTTAGCAAACAGTCGGCACCAACTGTAGCCCAAGAGCTGGCTAAGGCAACGCAATAATTGGTTTCCAGAATCTGATAATAATAATAATAATAATAATAATTGGAACTAATTCTTTGCCAATCTCTTTATTGATGGCTTGCTCGCAATGTAGTGCAGACCGTCTAGAATTCCCACCATTCTTTGCACAATGCAGCCTTCGGAGCCAGTTGCGACCACGCAGAGGTGTATAGAGGATCAAACTCATGTTGTCTTCAATCTATACAACGTTGAAAAGTTTCAAATTTTTCTATATCCTCGTTTTTCTATATCTTTCGTTATCTTCATTCTTGTGTGAGTTGTGCTGTTTAGTTTCATCTAGAGAACTATTTTCTAAGTGATTGCTATGAACCGCCAAGTATGTTGATAGAGGCTGTGAAATGGAACACTATGGCAAAGTGCTTCATTACATGTGGAGAAGTGGATGTGGCCATGAGTTACAAAGGTGAAGTGGTTTTAACAGAAGAAGTGACATAGTTATCTCAAGCCCCATCTGAACACATAATTGTCATAGTGGGGAATCCTTCTGTAAGATATTTCTACGTATATGTTTAGTACACTAGTCAAATATTCAAATGTGTATATGTATATAATCTATATATTAAGATTGCTCAAGGAGATATTGATCAAAGAAATAAGTGGTGGCTTTCCTTCATTGCATGCTACCATCATCAAGAACTTTTGTTTCCATCCATGTTGCTGTAATATAAGGTTGTCCTAAAATCAATAGATATGATGTTATATCTTAAACAAAGAAATGCTATTCTGTTGCAACATTCCCAATCCATATTTTAACATCCGGATAAGCTCCATATAATTTACCTTGTATATTATTAGCTGCTCATATTGTCCATCCATGTTCCATATTAATTGGCCACCTCTACTTCTTATAAAGATCTCTAGACGTAAGATTTATTTTGGAACCATAGTCTAAAGCAACAATAAGTTCTTTTGATCACGTACCTTCATCGACATTTCTATAATTACCCTTGTCCAATCCTTTCAAGTATAATGGCTTAAAGCTTCCATTTCTTTATCACAATACTCCTCAAAACAAACTCGTTGATTATAACCATTCTTTTTATTTATTGATTGCTTGTAACCTTTATCACTTTCTTCTTCATTTTTGCATAATCTTGCATCAATAGCATGACTCATTCCAACTTGGCCCATTAATTGTCTCTTCTTTTAAATACTCTCAATGATAATATCATGAAACCCCTTCTTTGCAATTTCCAAAATCTCTTTCAATGTGAATTCCACCTTGGCATTTAATACATGTTCTTTCAATACTCCATTTAAATCTGTTGCTCCTTCAATATTAGAGAGTAGTTTATAAGCTATTGATTTACCTTTATATTTTATTTTCTTTGTTTTTTCTTCCAATGAAGGAGATCTTTTATATCCTTTAATATTATCTTTCTATCTTTCCAGCAAATAAATCCTTGTTGCACCATATCATTAAATTCATTGCAATTCTTCCTAGTATGAAAAACATCATCACACCAAATATACCTTTGTATATACCCTTATTTAGAAACACTCTTCAAATTATTTGTAGAAGTCTTTTCTTCAAGTTTTGCCAATTTGATTTGAAGATTCCACATTCTGGGTATAATTTCTTTAATTTCCGTACCTTCCATCTTTAATAAAGATGTTGGAGGTTGAATAGTAGCCATATTTGATCATGTTGTATGTACTTGAATTTTAGGTGCTTATAATACTCTTGGAATATTAACCTTATCCTTCTTCCTTTCTTGTTTTGCAAGCAATTGTACTGCATCTTTGTAGAATAAGTAGTTATTTTCAGAATGTAGATACCTAGTGTATAGTATAAACAGGGATAGATAAGTGCTGAAAAGGTGGTTCAATAGGTAGAATGGATGAATAGTCAAAAAAAGTAGTTATCATCTATAGTATAGGAGTTGATATCTCGGGATAGTATAAGAAGGATGGGAGAGGGGAAGAAAATGCTAGACTATGAGAGTCGTAAGCCGAGAGCTAGACTGTAATAGTCATGAGGCGAGGGCCAGACTGCGAAAGTACTGAGCTGGGAATAAGCTTAGTGCTATCTCTTCTTCTTAGTTTTCTTGTCTCTTTTGTGTTAGTATTGATTCTAGTGAAGAGAATTGATTTAATGAATTAATGTTTAATTTACGAAGTTTTTTATGGATCACTGTTTATCAATTGTTGTGAAAGATTGAAGACGTATGGAAGTTTCCAGTCACTGTTTATCGCAAGGTTGTAAGTTCAGTGGAGAAGAATTGTAATCAAAGGAATTGTCTTGATCAGATTCTGTGGATTGAAAGTTGTTTATTCCAAGGTTTGGGATATGCTTGTGTGTTCGTGAATTACATAGGGTACTGAAATCGTTGTCGTGGATGTTATTGTATTGATATGAGAGAGTGGATAATAGGAGGAAAAGTTAAGTGTTCTTTGGTATGGTAAGCATTCAGTAGCAGCGGTTAATTGCATGATCCTAACAATTGGAGCTCATATACATGGTCTTTCCCTGTGTTCGAATTTTCCTATACGGGTTTATTTTAAGAGGTTTCTTCCAGAATAAGTAAAATAAGCAACCACATTTTGGCACCGCTGTTGGGCATTGACAATATTATTGAGTGTTCGGAATTAACTGTCGAAGCAGTAAAGAAAATTAGGAAGTAAACTCAGTAGAAATAATGAAAGAGTATGGTTATTAAGAATGAAAATTTAACAGCAAAGAGAATAAAGCAATCAAAAGAAAGAACAGAGTGATCGCAAGCAAGAAATTTGTTATGTAATGAGCGAGATCACAAATTGAAAAAGAAGCATGGATAAAGTTCGATTAAGCCGTGGTTGCATGCCTGTTGGCATATTTGATCGTATCCAGAAGACGATTGACATCTAATATTTCAGAAGTACATATCGTTAAAAAAATTATCAAGAGTATTTGCGGGGAGCGCTGCTAATAGTCCAGCATACCTCTCGAAGCTATTAATGAAAAATGAGGAAGGCACAGAGGAATTAGGTACCCCACTGGGTGTTTTCTCAATGAAAAATACGTCTGATCCTAACAAGACTGGTTCTGAAGATCGGCATAAATCACTTGCCAATAAAGACGAATTCAGAGTATATCAAAACCTTTCGTTTTCACCTCATATTCAACCAGTAAAATTATTTGGAGATAATAATAGTCAATCAGGAAGGCTTGGAAGTCCGAAAAAGACTTTTGCGAGAGATAGTTTTTATTTTAATAAGGAATTGAGTGAAACACCGGCACCTTTAATGATGTTTGGAGGACCAGGAGTTCCAATTGCAGTTCAAATGGGTGCAGTGGGCGATCGAACAACTAGCATCACACCTTTACTTACTTTTCGGGATTTGCCAAGTGCGGATCCAGATCAATATTTGTCTCAATTCTTGATGGCGTGTGTAGCCAATAATCGAAGAATAGAAGACATTTGGCTAAGATGGCTGCTAGCAACATTCAAAGACATAGCGTTTGAGTGGTATAACCGCCAACCTGTGGGACAATTTATCAATTGGGAGGCATTGAAAAATATATTTTTAGTCCATTTTCGACCAATTGGTTTTGAAGAACGTCTTAGAGAAAAATTAATGAACAGTAAAATGATACCAGGGAAAGCGGTACAGTCATATTATGGTCATGTAGCAGATATACTTCGAAAATGGCCAAATAATCAAATGTCGGAATCATTTGTGTTGTCCATATTGGTTAATGGACTACACCTACCAAAATTGAAGATGTTTGTAAAGAAGGCCCAATAACCTCAATACATCTCTTGGAATGATGCATCGGAAAGTTATCTGGAAAAGAATGATTATGGTACAATTCCACAGGGAATAGTGGATGCCGTTCCATTGCAAGCTATACCACCATCATCATCACACATGTATGCGCCTTATTCCACATATCAAAAATCAATACCTACAAAGGAATTGCCAAATGCATTGGTATCAAGAGATCCCAATGAGTAATTGCTGTTAACATTGATGAAAAAAATGGATGAATTGGCTGTGAATCTGGCCAAAGATAAAGAAAAAAGGCATAAACCAACCAATATGCGTCCCAATGTCTGGTGCAGCAATTGTAAGGGACAAGGTCATTTAGTAACAAAATGTCCTTCACTATCTCAAATGACTGTATAATATACCTTTTGCAGGGGCAAACATATTACCACCAACTGTTGGAATTTACGGAAGTAACAACAACTCAGTAACCAGATAATGACTCAACCAACTTCATGGGATGTCAATCAAGTACAAATAAATAATAGGTTTGGTTGGAATGGAAATTGAGCGAATAAACAAAATAGAAATTATTCTAATTTTTTCAACTCTGAATTTCACCTAGAAGGTGTATCCAATACTCACGGATTGGCAATGAACCAACTAGGATACTATCAATATCCACCCATGATAAAGCCAATGCCAGACTCTACAGTAACAATGGGTCAACAAGGATCCTTTACTCATCCGACATGGAACAGACCTAGCCGTTATATACCAGTAGAGACACCCATTATCCCTGAAGGAGTTGGTAGGAGACCACTTCGTTGCTATCGTTGCAGACAAATCAGACATTATATGAGTGAATGTCCTAATCCAAGGATTAGTGATGACTATGCTCCAATATGTGGAAAT